ACACACACACACAGTCATACATAGAAATCCACACAGACACACACACACACACACACACACACACACACACACACACACACACACACACAGTCATACATAGAAATCCACACACACACACAGAGTCATACATAGAAATACATACATACACACACACACACACACACTGTAGGAGGAAGGAGAGGAGCAAAAGAGGGCGTACAGGTGTTCACAGGTGCTCTTCATCACCTCCTCCTTCTCGACTCAGGTTCACCTCCACCTGCAAAGGTGATAGCGGTGATTTCCCAGGATGGACCGCTTCTTCTGTGCTCCAGCAGATGGCGATCTTTCTGACTGATCTGGAGGAGACGGAGTGAGACAGCAGCTTTCCTTCCTCCTCCTCCTCCTCCTCCTCCTCTTCTTCCTCTTCCTCCTCCTCATGGTAAGGAGGGTCAGGAGGTGCAGAGGAGGGTGTGGGGCCTGGCTCTGATGTCACACAGGGTGTGGACAGGTGGAAGTCAGGTGTGTAGTCAGAGGGGAACGACAGTTTGGTGCTGATGGTGAACGGCTGGACCTTCCTCATGATGATAATGAAGATGAAGATGATGATGAAGATCAGTTTGAACCTGTAGAAGAAGAGCAGACGGCTCAGTAACAGAGTAAAGAGCAGAGTGAGTTCAGCTGCTCACAAACACACTGAGGTGAGGTCATGCTATGATGTCATCCTATGATGTAATCATTGGATCCACAACACTGCAGCTGCAGACAGGGGCGCTCACTCTGTGTGAAAACCATCAACATCACAGCTCCACAACAGTGAATCCAGACTCTCTCTATCTCCCCCTGGTGGCTGACTGCGGTATAGACTCAGGGAGACAGAGAGAGAGAGTCTATACTATATTTTTTTTTTCTGGGTTTTGTTTAGGTTGTTCCATTTCTCCCAGAACTGGTTGGATTCGAGAGATTCCTCAATTTCACATAGCTGGTTCTTGCTGTGTTCTCTCTCTCTCAATTCAATTTTCAATTTTTCAGTTCAAACGGCTTTATTGACATGACGTAACACTGTACATATTGCCAAAGCAAGCGTTTGGAATTAAAAATAATAATAATAACAATAAAGGAAAACAACATTTAAAATAAATTAATTATAATCAATACTGTTGGTAATACTGTAACTATGATTGACTCAATCACAATCACAGTCACAATCAATCAATCTCAGTCAATAAGTAATTAATTACAATCAATCAATCAATCAATCAGTTTGTGTTTAATGTCATTAAAACAGTAGTAAAGTAACTACAGTTAAAACAAGTAGTCTGTTGTCAATATAACAGTAATAACAAATGATTTAATATAATATATAATATATATAAAATATTAAAATTAAAATAAAATAGATAGATAAAACTGTAAACATGTGTGTGTGTGTGTGTGTGTGTGTGAGTGAGTGTGTGTGTGTGTATATATATATATATTAAAAAACAACAACAACAACAAAACAACTAAAACAATCTATTATTTTATACATTTACAGAGTTTCCACTGGTCGTCCTCAGTTCGTAGTAAATAGGGGAGTTTCTGTGTGTCTGATAATAATTCGAATTCGGGGTATATTTGGGAAATGTTTGCGAATTGTTTTTCTCTTAAAGCTTTGAATTTAGGGCATGAGGTTAGAAAATGCAGCTCTGTCTCTACCTGTCCTCTGTCACACTGGGAGCAGAGTCTTTCCTCTTCTGGTAGCCAGTTCTGTCTGTGATGACCCGTTTCTATGGCCAGGCTGTGTTCACTCAGTCTGTACATTGTCAACATTGTTCTTAGTTCAGGACATTTTATTGTGATCAGGTAATTTGCCAGTGTGAATTCTCTTTTTAGGGTCAGATAATATTGTAATTTACTTTGTGTTTTGCTCGTTTCTTTCCAGTATTCAATATATTTTTCTTTTTGCTTGTTGATAATTTGGTTTGGTCTGATTGAGTTGGTGTTGCTGTCCTGAGGCTGTTGGGGACATGTTACTGCAGAGAGCCTCAGGACCAGCTGGCTGAGGGGACTCTTCTCTGGTTTCAGCTCCTGGTATGTTGGGGCTTTGTGATGGTATGTCTGGGGGTTAACTGATTTTAAGTGATTGTAAAATTGAATTGATCTTTTCTGTATTTTTAGTAGGAGGGGGTATTGGCCGAGCTCTGCTCTGCACAGATTATTTGGTGTTTTTCTCTGCACCTGCAGGATGCTCTTACAGAACTCGCTGTGGAAAGATTCTATGACTGTTTTGTCCCATTTGTCAAATTCATTATTTAGTTTTGGTCCCCAAATTTCGCTGCCATATAGAATTATTGGTTCTAGTACAAATTGGAAAATTTTAAGCCAGATTTTGATTGGAATATAGATTTTAATGTTTCTCTTTATTGCATAGAAAGCTCTCCTTGCTTTGTCCCTCAGATCTTTCACAGCCATGTTGAGGTTTCCTGTGTATGTAATGTTGAGGCCAAGGTAAGTGTAGTTTTTTGTATGTTGTAATTTAGTGGTGTCTAAATAGAAATTGTGTGTAACCTGATTTCTGTATTGTTTCTGAAAGATCATTATCTTAGTCTTTGCTGTGTTTACTGTCAGGGCCCAGGTCTGACAAAATCTCTGCAGGAGATTAAGGTGCTGCTGCAAACCTTCTTTAGTAGGCGAAAGCAACACTAAGTCATCTGCATATAGCAGACCTCTGATCTCTGTGTCGTTCAGGGTGAGGCCAGGTGGAACGCTCTCCCCCTGGTGGCTGACTGCAGTATAGACTCTCTCTCTCTCTCTCTATCTCCCCCTGGTGGCTGACTGCAGTATATACGCTCTCTCTCTCTATCGCCCCCTGGTGGCTGACTGCAGTAAATACTCTCTCTCTATCTCCCCCTGGTGGCTGACTGCGGTTTCTGTCATTTTAGGTTGTTCTTATTAAGCTGATGTTTCATCATCAGTTTGGTTTAAATTAGTTATCTGAAGCAATGTTCATCTTTATATGTGGATGGTGAAAATCCTATCAAGCAGTTTGCTTGGTTGTCATGGAGACAGTTTCCTCCTACTGTAAACATTTTTTCAACACATTTTAATTAACATGTCATTATATTATCATCATCATCATCGTCATCATCATCATCATCATCATCACCAGGCTTCATCTCACCTGTAGAGGTGTCTCTGTGTGTGCGTTCTACACTAACATTAATTAAACAAAGAAAGTTCCTCTCTTTCTCTCATATGTGTTTGTTGACTTTGTTGATTTGTTTGTTGACTTGGAGCAGTTGTCAGGTAACCAGAGGGGTATTGCACAAAACCAAGATAAGGGATTAAGCCAGGATATGTTGGTTATCCTGGCTGAATTTAGCCTCAAGTCGGTTGCATGAAAGCAGGTTAAACTTATCCCGGCCAAGTTACTATGGTGATTTATTCTCTGCAGCTAGCCTGCTCCAGACCAGGCTAACAGCCAGGCTAAGATTAATCCTGGTGATTCACCTGTATTTCCACCGTCAATCCTGTGAGGAATTAATGTGTTTTACAGCATGTCCATGGTCTTTCTAAGTATGTTGCATCATTTTAATTATCCTGCATTAAAATATTACATATATATTGTCATTTCTCATTTCATTTAAATCTGTTGGCTGTTTGTAATTGCAACAGTCTTTTTATATTGATTCAAGTGGAAGTATTATTACTCAGGACAAGTGTTATATTGCTATGCTAATGAAGACTGCTTGTCAAACTGCATAAATATGTGTTTATTGCAGTAATTGAGATTACAAAACACAGCTGATGAAGTTGCAAAGGTGTTTTCAATGAAATCTGTGACAAGGGCAATATAGTATATATATTATGGCATACCGTTTAAGAGATTAATCTTTGAATATATAGAATGAAACTTTGAATATATAGAATGAAACTTGACTGGTCATCAAGGCACTGCTGCCATCTTGTAGAAGTGAGAATGAGTCAGTCAGGAACCTTGTGGCAGCAATACTGAGCAATGAGGACATTATTAACTCATTGGCAAGTGCTTGTACGGGCCAAAATCCTTCCCATAGTACCCGTGCCCAATACCGTTCTCCTGACGAAGAAGTTCACTCCCTTTTTATCGTGGCAGGCCGACTACAACAGGCCTCAGGCTAAATCCTGACAGAAAAAGCAAAAAAGTTTTCCAGTTCCAGAAAGTATTGTAATATTTCAACTGTTCAAACTGCCATTTTGTAAAACCAGCTAATTCAGAAGACTATCACTTTGATGAAAAGGATACAACTAGGTTTTGAATTTCATTCAGTATTCTCACATTTCTATCAGTATATCCAACTTCATTCCATATATTAAAAGATTCATTTCCTAAACAGCATGCCATTTAGACTATATACACTATATATATATATATATATATATATATATATATATATTATTCACACCTGTCTCTCTTCATAATGGCTTGCCCTTTTTTGAGGAAGCCCTAATCCTCAGACGAGCATTTAGTCTTGAAAGAGTCTTCTGGGACAGGTCAGACCCATTGGCCGTTGGAGAGGACTATCTCATTGAGAGATACAGATTCTCAGGTGATGGACTAAGATATTTATGTAGGCTGCTGGGTCCAAAAATACAGCACCAGACGGCAGGAAGCCATGCTCTCACTCACCTCTCATTGAGATGTTTTGCAAGTGGGAGCTTCCTTTATTCTGTTGGGGATGCAGAGAACCTCAATAAAGGAACCATTTGCCGCACATATCCTGGCTTGGTGGGCCGCCCCCTGTGCCAGTTCTATGGGCTTTTTTTAACTGCTACAATCATACAGACATTCAACATGTCAGCAGACACCTAATCTATTCACCTCATTTATTCACTGTTATCTACTTTAGAGTCACTGACCAGCCTGCAGAATGTTCTTGTATTTAACTTTAACTTGCTGCCAGGTCCTTTTATGGCCAGACAAGTTTGTTCTTTATGAAGGATAGAAAGATAAAATAGATAAAAATAGATTAAATGACACACATTATGGATAATTGTTTGCACTTAATCATACTCTACATTTAAGTAACATGCACCTCTACTTGCCACATTTAAAGCAAAGTGTACAACAGTTGATTAGTGGACTTAAAGTAACTCCTTTAGTCCTTTAATTGGAGCCTAATGATGACAGTTCCAGTGGAGCACTGTTTATTCATTGTACAGTTTTGGACTACTTAAGCATTAAGCTGGTCCGCTATTGTCTGCCAGGCTTTCTCTCTTTCTTTAATTATGGCATTGGTATTGCCTTTGTTTCTTATATCTTCCACCTCTTCATAGAACTCCATCAGGAGCTGTTGTTCAGCGGCCGTGAAATACGAAGCGCGACTCTTATCCATGTTCCCATCAGTGATTCTGTGAGCGATCGCGAGGTCTATTTCAGTATGCCGTGAACACGCACTTATCCCGACTATCTACACCTGGCTTAACATAGCCGCGCCTTTTCATCCTGGCTCGGCAAACGTGCAACCGATTAAGCCAGGATGCGCCGAGCAGGCTAGGTCAAGCCGCGCTTGCTCAATTATCCTGGATTTCTTTATCCTACTTTTGTGCAATACCCCTCAGGACCTGAGAGGACTTAGAGGATTAAATAGTAAACAAAAGCATGAATAAAATTCATAGAGAATAAACAAACAATGACACCGCTTCATTGTTACTGTCAGGATTTTATTACAAGACTTTTAGCAGGTGAGTCCCTGATGAATGGACCAATCAGAGGAGAGGGCAGGTGGTCACTCAGCTTTGGTTCTTTTCACAGCTCCAGGTAACTTGTCCTGGAGCCTGAAAACACACAAACAGTCTGTTAGGAGTCCTTCCTGTCTGCCTAACATTCACTGCAGAGTACACAAGTACTGTCGCACCGTGTAGCACCATTTAGCTCTGTGTAGCTCCGTGTAGATCTGTGTAGCTCTTTGTAGCACCATGTAGCTCTGTAGCTCTGTGTAGCACTGAGTAGCTCTCTGTAGCTCTGTGTAGCTCTTTGTAGCACTGTGTAGCACCATGTAGCTCTCTGTAGCTCTGTAACCCTCTGTAGCTCTGTAACCCTCTGTAGCTCCGTGTAGCTCTGTGTAGCTTTGTAACCCTCTGCACTTCTGTGTAGATCTGTGTAGCACCATGTAGCTCTCTGTAGCTTTGTGTAGCTTTGTGTAGCTCTGTATAACGTGTAGCACTGTGTAGCTCTGTGTATGACCGCCATCACCCAAACAGTTTATGAACTGTCCCTCAGTGAGAAAAAAATTACTAATCTGAGCTCCTGGAGGTTACAGGAAGTAGTTCTGCTGTGTAGCACCGAGTAGCTCTCTGTAGTAGTAGTTCTGCTACTTCCTGCGTTTGCAGCTGACGTCTAATGAAGCAAGTTATCAGTTATTTAGAATAAAAATAAAACAAAATTAAGACAATTTTTACTCAATCAGCAACTTTTATAGTTTTTAGTTTTATCATGAGTATGTAAAATGTCAACGCTAGACAGCAGCAGAGCAGGTTGTCTGTCAGACTATCTGATACTAACAGTCAGTATTTCACTATAAACAGTATAAATATAACATGAAAATAGGATCAGAGAGAAATATGGGAAGTCACACTAGCCTTCAAAATAAAGGCCTGGATTACCGCACTGATGATGATGAGGAGGAACAATCTGATGTGAACTCACTTGTGCAGCGACTCCTCCACTCTGGACTGAATAAGCTCGATGTAATGATCAATCTGTGTCTAAACACACACACACACACACACACACACAGGTCAGAGGTCAGTTAGCAGCGGTTCTGGTATTGGACTGTGTGAGTTATCTGGTGCAGCATTAAAGGACTAAACTGTCCTGATTCATTCAAATGGAGAATTAAGTAATTAATTAATGTGATTTTTTTTTTAAATTTAGAATCAAATCAACTATCATAAACAACACATTGCTTTTCATTTTAGAGTTTGGTTATAAATGTAATGGTGTTGAACTGGCAGAGTGATCTGTGAGTGCATTCAAGTGCTTAAGAGACAATCTCAGCGAGTGATGTTATTGAAACTATAGTCTAATACATAATAATAATACATTTTTACGACAAGACTTAAAAGCACCATGGAAACTAGTCCCAGGATAAAATAGTTAAATCTCCACTGCCATCAGTTGTAAAAGCTTAGTTGTGTTTGTGGTGGATATATCACCTAAACATTTCACTTAGATCAACGATTAATTGAATGAATTAACAAGTTGTCAAAATATGCTTTCACACTAACAACAGTGAAAGGTTCTTCAATGTTTGTCTGCAGATTCTGTTAATAACAGGGTGATGAGAAAGGAACCATATCAGGATGCGGTACCTTTTTCTTCTGGTAGATCAGCGGAGTGGTGAAGAAAATTATGTCAGCTGGACAGAAAAAATATATATTTTTTAGTTTATCTGAAGTTGTCCAAAAGATTTACATAAAAAAGAACAACCCTTACCGAGGATCAGGATGGTTACTCCATTGAAGACTGCTCCAACGTACGTCATCATCCACATGACTGCAGCCAGCTGAAACATCAAGGGATGAACCTTTAGAGAACAGCTGAACCTTTAGAGAACAGCTGAACATTTAGAGAACAGCTGAAACATTTAGAGAACAGCTGAACCTTTTAGAGAACAGTTGAACATTTAGAGAACAGCTGAACCTTTAGAGAACAGCTGAACATTTAGAGAACAGCTGAAACATTTAGAGAACAGCTGAACCTTTTAGAGAACAGTTGAACATTTAGAGAACAGTTGAACATTTAGAGAACAGCTGAACATTTAGAGAACAGCTGAAACATTTAGAGAACAGCTGAACCTTTTAGAGAACAGTTGAACATTTAGAGAACAGCTGAACATTTTAGAACAGCTGAAACATTTAGAGAACAACTAAACATCAAGAGGACAGCTGAACCTTTAGACATCAACCGAAACATTTAGCAAATAACTATACCCTTAGAGAAGAGCTTAATATTTAAAGAACAGCTAAACGCTTAGAGAACAGTTCTGACCAGCCCCAGTGTCTCCTCCTCAGAAAGCGCAATGGTCCTCCGCTGCCTGTAGAAGGAGGAGCTCAGTTCTAGCACCCTGCAAACATGCTGACCTTCAAAGAGTCCACCAGGTCCTCAACCAACAGCAGCCTCCTGGTCTGACAGCTAAACCAGTTCAGATGGACCAGAGACTGATCCACCACAAGCCGGACGGCCTCTGAGGACACTGAGATGTCCCTCTCCAACAGAGACCTGAAAGAGGACAGAGGACCTCAGAGGAGGACAGAGGAGTTCAGAGGAGCAGGGGGATGACAGAGGAGGAGAAGCAGGAAGAAGAGGAGGAGGAGAATACCTGAATGGATGACCTTCGTCTGATTTCTGGACTGCCTGGATCACTGATTTATAAACCCTACAAACCGGAAGCAGACAGCTGTAAGAGACTTGGGACATACACTGCGTTCCAAATTATTATGCATATACTGTTTTTGTTCTTTTTCTTACTGAACAGTCAATATAATTTGCAGTCAATAGGATTTTTTATTCCTAAACAATTATATCGTAATCTGGATTTTATTAAACACAATTACCAATGATGACGATGGCATTTTTTGCAAAATAACTCAAAATGCAGTGTTCCAAATTATTATGCAAAACAGAGTTTCAAAACACTCAATAGTTTCTAAAGAAAACATCCCTCCACCACCTCCTTGCTGACATTGCAGCCTTGTTGGGACATGGTGGCCATCCAGAACTCCATCCATCTGGACCATCCAGTGTAGCACAGCATACATCAGTGAATAAAACCGTTAGTCATGTCTCCTTGTGGGCATTGTTTGAGGGCGGCTGAAATACAGCTTTATGCACATCAGCAAGCCTCTGGAGGATCCTGCGTCGAGAGGTTCTTGGGACTCCAGAGGCACCAGCAGCTTCAAATACCTGTTTACTATCATCAGTGGCTTTTTCACAGCTGCTCTCTGAATACTATGAATTAGCCTTACAGAGACTTTCCTTAACACGCCTATATCTGAACGAACCCTTCTGCGCTCTGAATCAGACACAAATTTTTTCATGGGACGATGATCTCTCTTAGTATTTCGTAAGATATCCAGTGGTTTCATACCTATTGAAATATACTGCACTATTTCACGCTTTTCATCTGCAGAAAGATATTTTTTTACCCCTATATTGCATGAAACCTGTGACTTGCTTAATAATGTGGAACAACATCCTTAAGTAGTTTCCCATTAATTAGGCTCACCTGGCAAACTAATAAAGACAGACCTGTCTGAGATTGATGTCAGTGATCTAAACAGACATGGGAAGCAGCACAATTGAAAACTTTCATTGAAAAACAAAAAATCTGATGTTTCTTTAATTGAATTAATATTTGCATAAGAATTTGGAACACAGTGTAGCCACCTGTGTGCTACCTGCTGATACATTCACTGTGCGTTCTGAGTGGTCAGTGACAGACCAGGTGAGCTCACCTGAAGGTGATGGTGACACAGAGGCAGGTGAGCAACAGGTAAGACACCACACTGATGACAGACAATGTCGCCACAGAGACAAGAACCAGCAGCGAGACGCTGAAGGCTGCCGCCGTCTTCTTCGGTTCTTTCCAGTGGATGAGCTGTAAGGCTGGAGGGCAGAAGTTAAAGGTCACAAGGAGCAGAGACTTCATCAGAGTAAGTTTGATATGTGACTTTGGTGCCTCCTGGTAGTGGATTTAAAGAAGACACTGTTTAAATCATAACTAACTAAGAGTATATACACTACACTACTGCTACTAATAATAATAAGTATATTTCCAATATACTTTTATCGCGGGCGCTCTAGCTTTTCTATGTTCTATTTTATGTTAAATAGCCAATAAGAATGTTTAGGTGTGTGAGAAGGCAAATTAGTCACGTGTTCAGTTGTGATTGTCGGAGATGCACATGGTTTGAATCTGCATCCATCCTTCTTTGTTTGACTTCGGAAATCATTGCTTGTGAGTATTTTTTAGTTCTAAGAATGTTAAAATTTGATAAT